CCCCACCCTCCAGCATCCCCAAGGGCTGGTTTAGGTGCTGGGGGGGTTCCCCAGGGAGATGCAGAGCCGGGGTGGTGGGGGCGGCCCGAGGTCTACCCCTCACTGGGGATGGGGGGGACGTGGGGTAGCGCTGGCAGTGTCGTCCCCCCACTTCTCTCCGCAGCGGAGGCACCCACTCCAAGGTGGTGCTGGTCTCCGGAGATGGCCAGATCCTGGCTGAGACAGAGGGACCCTGCACAAACCACTGGGTGAGCTGTGGGATGGCCCCCCCCCCAAGTCCAGTGGGGAGGAAACAGTGTGGGGGGGTGGGGGGTGGCCCTGCTTGTCCTCAAGCTCCCAGGACACTTGGGTGGGATGAAGGCACCGGAGAAGGTGCTGGGATGTTTTCAGCAGCTTGTGGCCAGCAGCAAAGGCTTTAGCTGTGTGGGACCACCCGGGGATGGATCCCGGGGCAGGGTGGGGGCTTTAGTGAACCCCCCCCTCTCGGGTCTCAGCTCATCGGCTCTGAGAAGTGCCTGGAGAGGATCGAGCGGATGGTCAGCGAGGCCAAGAGCAAAGCCGGGGCTGACCCCCACGTCCCACTCCGCTCGCTGGTGAGTCCCCCCGCCCTACCTCACCCCCCATGCTCCCCTGGGACTAGCATCCTCTCCGAGGATGCTCTGGCTCCCGTGTCCCCCCTGGGAGTGACGGGACCCCTCTGGCCCGGGGCAGGGGCTGTCCCTCAGCGGGGGTGACCAGAAGGATGCCATCAGCAAGCTGACGGAGGAGCTGCACCAGCGCTTCCCCCACCTGAGCCAGAGTTACTACATCACCACCGATGCCGTCGGGGCCATGGCCACCGCCACCGACCACGGTAGGGGACGACTCACCCCGGGGGTGACAGTGAGGGGGGGACATCCTGGTGCGGGGCCGGGGGGGAATGACTGCGTGTCCCCCCTCTGACCCCGCAGGGGGCATTGTCCTGATCTCGGGTACCGGCTCCAACTGCAAACTCATCAACCCCGATGGGTCAGAGACGGGCTGCGGCGGCTGGGGACACATGATGGGTGACGAAGGCTCAGGTGAGGCCAGTGGGCAGGGGGTAGAGGGGGGGGCACTAGGGGGAGGGGGTCTGAGCTGGCTCCATGCTCCCTCTGCAGCGTACTGGATTGCGCATCAGGCTGTGAAGATGGTGTTTGACTGCATGGACAACCTGGAGGTGCCACCCCACGACGTGAGCTACATCAAGCAGGCCATGTTCGACTACTTCCAGGTGCTGCTGGAGGGGTCCTTGGGGGGAGGAAGGCTGGGGGGTGGCTCTGGGCTGTATGTCAGGGTCCATGGGGGACATCATGGTGGTGGGGTCTGGGGGGATGGATGCTCCAGGCTGCACACCGGGATGGTGGGAACCCAGCGGCTCCAAGCTGGATGGTGGGGTCCTGGGGTGTCCCCTGTACTGGCCGCCAGGACGCAGGGCTCACCAGTGGGTTTCCCCCCCGATTCCTGGCGCTGCAGATCTCCGACAGGATGGGCCTACTGACACATCTCTACCGCACCTTCGAGAAGTCCAAGTTTGCGGGATTTTGCCAGAAGCTGGCAGAAGGTAGGGAA